AGCAGGAATACTCCTGGCTAGCTTAATTTCTTCATTCGGAACAAAATGTGTAGCAATCCAGAACAATGAGGCAAATTATTAATAATAATGGTGAAAAAGTCTTTTAAACTGGTCATAATTAATATACTGGCCAAAAGATCTAGTAGCATTATTCCACACCCTGACCAGCATGCTCATGCATTCCTTGAGAATCACCATCACTCTTTGGCCAGTTCCCGGTCTTAGACAAGGAGGCATCATCGCATTCATCTTACTGATCAGGACCTAACATTCCATGACCTTTCAGACATGGTTATCTGTTTACAGAAATAAAAATACGGCTCTCAGTAATAAGAAAAAGAATGCATACTTGCCCCCAGAGTCTACAGCTCCATGTTAATCAGATCGGACCCCAGATAACTGTGTGATACATTATCTGTGCATGTGTTGTACACAACAGACAATGTGATTCAGGGCAGTATCACCTGACACATGTGGTCTTAACAGAAATGCTAAAGGTCCTCCAAGGGCTTAGAATTTAAACCACAAATAAACAATCCATAAAAGATTAACAACATAAATTACTAATGTCTCCAGTATAAACACATTAGGGTATCAGATACATGATTTGATGTCTGATTTACAGGTAATAAAACATCCCAGAACTAAAGTCAAGCTGAAGGATAACTTAAATAAATGCAAGAACTCTGTGACAAGGCTTCTGGCCTTCATTTTTAGAGGGTAAAAATGCCAGTTACTTAGTACTGCTGCAGTGTTCAAGGCTGGCAATATAACAGCCCCTTTTAATATTCAATTTTCAATCTGAATTTAGGAGATATCTTCTGTATGCTACTGGCATTTCAGCTACCTTCCCAGCTGAGATACAAACTTTTATTCACCAGTGAGTTGTGCTGAAATCCCCTTCTAATGAAATTTCATAGGAAAACCTTAAAAAAATACATCCATTGGATTTTTCAGGTGGAGGTAGTTCAAAGCATTCCTTATTCTCTTGTTTATGTTAGAAATGGTAAGAACTGCACAATACCAAATGGCTTGTAAAACAGGCACCTGGACTAGAAACATTTCCCAGCCCTCCATCCCCACAAAGTACATGCAGTCAAAACAACAGTGAAGATGACTGTCAGATATTAATAGATTATATTAATTAGGGAATTCTGAGAAACCTCAGAAACTAGGCTGGAACAATTGTTAAAATAGTCCTTGCCTACTTTAATAGTGACAAAGATAACAAGGATAGAAAAAAATGAAAACAAAAATCAAGCTTTGTATTAATGCAGCTTCAGGTGTCAGAATATGGGGTTTAATTTAGGTATTCCGCAGGAGGCCCAACCCTGAACATATTCTAGCCCACCTCTAGAGAAGCTTCTGTTCTTAAGAAACCCACGTACATATTTATCAAGAATCCCAACTGATTTTAGAAAGCACATGAGTATTTGCAACACCTGCCTCAATTCTCAGTGTATTTTTGTCAGCTCTTCAACACTGTGTTTACTTACATGTTGGGTTCCATCCTGGGATATTAGTGCTACTTGTTGACCTAATCCTGACTGAGTAACTGTAGCAACCTGCGCAGAAATTACATCTTCTCCATCTACACCTGTCACATAGGTTATTTGGGAACCTTTGAGAACATCTTCACCTTGACCTATTTGAGACAAAGAAGGCAAAAGGGTGGTTTACATACTCTAGGTGCTGCCAGGGAAGCAAATGACAAGGATTAAAATGCCAGCCTGGTTTGAAGGTTTTAAACACTCCAACAGAAAAATTCTAGTGGAAAGAGGAGGAAAATAAAAGCAAGTCAGAAAGTCTGTTTTAGGAACATGGGGTATAATCTTTTAGCAGTGAGTTTTAATACACAAATACTAAAGAAAATATACATTGAGTTTATAAGCAAATTTTGAAATGGTGACAAACATTTCAAATTAATTCATTAAATGTTAACCTCTCCATACAAGATGCTTCAAGCAAACACAACTGGCAGCTTTTAAAGAGTTATTAATTAACAAACATACAGAAGAACACAGTGATGCCTTTGTGTGACTTAAGTTCAGTATCTTAATAAATGTTTAACCTTAGCAAATGAATCTTATCATTCCCTTAAAAGGAACTGGATTCCAGCAAATCTGCTGGAGGCATTCAGTGCAGTTTCCCACCTACATATAAGAAAACAACTTCTTTGGCCAAAACAGTTTCTGCACTTATTTCCGATCTTCAGTCAAATGTAAAAATCACAATTTGACAAGTGGTATTTGTCCTATCACAGTACTTCCTTCAGTATGATCTTTAATAGTCATAGGATTCAATACTCATGATACCATGAAAAACATTCTAAGGAGTACTGATGCAAATGAACTTATTTTCATCTTTGCTTCTAGGACAGTTTACAGAAAGTACTATTAACCACAGCAAAACCAGCACAGCATCAGCATAGCGCAAAGACAGATTTTCCTTTTCTTAAGGCAGTGCCTTTGCTCCTGCACGAAAGACTGTCACCAACCATGGTGTTCTAGAGACACTCTTAGAAAAATACCTAAAAAAAATCCAGTAGCTTGCAAGCATAAACATTGTAGATTCTCCCAGGTCCCTCCCCACATTTGTTTTTATAGCAGGTTTGCTGGGACTGCTTCTCAAATCTCTCTTATCTCCAGGACTGCTGTGGGTGAGTTTATGATCTGGTCAATTACTCTCTCAGTTTCTACCAGGCAACCAGTCTGGTTGCCTACCAGACTAAAAAGTCCTACAAAGAAGTTAAATAACTTTATTAGGTGCTTCAGATTTTTAACTACGCTTTCATTTCCTTGGTTATAAAAAAACCCAGTAAAATATTATCCAGCCCATTTTTTTTTACAGTACAAGATTCCAAGACTGAAACTCTAACCTGGAGGTGGCTCAAAAAAGGCCTCTTGTTCTTCTTCAATGGGCTCTGTGTCATTGTGTGCTGTCCGCTTGTGCATAGCAAGTGTAGAAATCTGCTTGTATGTTTTCCCACAGTGATTACAGTTATATGGTTTGGAATGAGTATGTACAACATGATGCTTGTATAAACTGGAGTACTCTGTAAAACGTTTATCACAACCAGGAACTGTACAGACATAAGGCTTCTCCCCTATATGAAAAAACAAAAGGCATAAAGAGAACTTTATTCAGGATGCACACTAAAAATTGTCAACAAGTGATATTTGGTGACACACCTTCGTTACCAACCACAGACCAATTTCAAAGGCAACAGTGAAGATCAAGCTCACAGAGTTGCCCACAGAGTTTACCAATGCAGCTTCTCACTGTCTTCTTATAAGAACAATTGCCAGTAAAAGTTGGGCCCTTTTTTCTCCATTCCATCTAAAACATCCTTCTGATGAAGACAGAAGGATACAGGCTGAAAGCTGCAATGTTGGTTTGGCATCGTATTGAGATTCTTGTTCTTTATTACTGGAAGCCCCATACTTCCCCTCAATAATCAGGTATGTTGATACCCTAGTACAATTTCACTTACTTTTGAGTCTTTAAGCTCTGAAGAAAGCTTATGGGAAGCATATGTTTAAGTAACTTCGGTTTCATATAAAAAGAACTTTCATTTAAAAATTAATGAAAAAATACCAAATTGCATTGTGAACTAAAAAAATAATCTGAGATACAAAACGTACCTCTATGAAACCTGTCTGTGCTTCCATCAAATAAATAAGGCTACCAAGATGATACAGCCATCACTGGCTTTTACATTTTAGAACCTTTGAATCTGTGCTGATTATTTCTGCTAACGAATCAAGTTGGATGTGTATTTTCACCTCCAGTCTATATAAAGGTTTTGACCGCTGCTCCAGCAGCAAGGAAAATACAGCTGGGATGAAAGGATGACTCAAAATGGTGAGCCGAAGTCATGCTCAGACTTGTACTTTACTGTTATTTATTTAAGAAGCAGCTCATAATGGAGGCAAATCCCAGAACTATATAAGGATGTAGCCCAATGTCCACTGAAGACAAAGTTTTGCATTCATTTTAAAGAACTATCCAAACCAAAATTATTCTGCCTTGACAGCAAGGCAGGAAACTTAACTGCTAAACTGTCCTCAGCTCAGGGTAGACAAGGCCCAAATAAAAGTGCCAAGCCAGGTCATATAAAAATGACTAAACCCAATTACAATGCACTGAAACTGTTCAAAAGGAGAATGACAGAGTCTTTCCCAAGCAGATTCCACTTCAAAACACAAAACATCACTCATATACCTGTGTGTATTCTCACGTGATTCTTATAGTTAGTTGCACTGGCAAAAGCTCTCCCACATCCTGGCTCTGTACAGTAATAAGGCCTTTCGCCTGTATGTGTCCTGATGTGAACCTTTCTAATATTAGATGTTGTGAATGACCTGCCACATCCTTCAAATGGACACTTAAAGGGCCTTTCACCTGAAAAATAAAGAAAAAACGGCACCCATGCAAAAGTTATAAAAGAATAAAAATGCTAAGTTACATTTAAGACTGAATGTAGGAATCTAAAGCTACCTAATTCTCTCTTTGAGACCCTCAGTCGGAAACACCATGAACATGCCACTGCGGAGTGTTCTACTGTTTAGCCAAAACTGTCAAAATTCGGGAAAATCATACAATCTGTAAACTAAATTATGAAGTATTTAGATCAGTACTTTGTGATGCACAAAACAGACTCAGTTGCTTGTATTAGCTTCCACATTGTCCATATCCTAACATGTATTTACCATCCCCCCACTCATTACCTAAAATAAGTATATCATAACATTTTTACATTTTGAACTTGTAATTCATAAAACTAAAAAAAAAAACAAAACCACCCCAAACTCAAAAACCCTTCATGATTTAACGTATAACCAAGATAAAAGTGGATTAGTGAAACTCATTATAGAAAGCACTCTTTAAAGAGAGCCCTGAAAATAATTTCAAGCCCCCAGAGAAATCACAAATACAGGTTATTTTAAAATAACTCTATTAATGTAATATAAATTTAAGCACAATACCTTACATCATTGCACCAAAACATTTAAGTAGATAAGGCCAACCCCTGTCTAATATCCCAATACTCCTGACCTTGCAGGTCTGTTAAAGCGCACAGAGCAGGAGAGTGAAGGGGGTTAACTGTGCTGTCCTGTTGTAATTTCACACTTCCTAGAGCTATGTACATTCCACCCACTGTACTGCTTACCAAGGGGAAGAATCTGAGAGCCAGAGGAGACAGATTACCACTACAGACATAACATTAAATACTTACAGACAGAAATAAAAAACAAAGTCCTGATAGAGACATTAGTACCATGAAACTCTAAAGTAGTTAGCTCCTTGGCACAGGAAACTATAATTCATTCCTTAGGGCAGCAGCTGCTTCAGAAGGTTTTTCAGCTTCCTGCCAAGGCAGTGTGTGTGTGCATTAAGCATACACGCCTCAGTGTTGTGTTACCATGGCTCCCCTAATCCTTGCTTCAGCACAGGATCTCAAATCAAGCTTGAAAGGAGGAGGGCTGCAGAGTCAACCCTGCCCAACAACAGACCCTTCCTTAGAAACTAGACCAGAAGATTCTTAAAGAATGCCCGCAAGAATGTCGTCCAACCAGTTGGTGAAGCCAGCCTTTTAAGTTTCTAATGCACTTGTTAGAAAAGCGACCTGTTTCCAGGTGACAGAGATTTCCAGCACTAGAAATGCAAAGCAAGTCAGAAGCCTTCAAGCTCTACCCCACAGCAGCTGTGAGGAATCATCCACTGCAGCTTTTCTGATACTAGAATGGTATGTCTAGGGAAGTCATGGAGGAACCTGGGCAAGCATTTGATGGCAACAGGAAGTGAGACTGGACTGCCAGTGAAAAAGAGAGGGGAAAAAACACTGGCTAAACTAGGCAGAAAATGAAGGAAGTGCTAACCCTGCTCTACGTGATAAAGGAATGCAAAGGTTTGGGAGCCCTGTGAGAGTGGGCAGAGTCCAGACTTGCTTCCATGAGGTACACTGTTGGAGCTTGCACAGGGTATGAGCATACACCTCTCCATCCATCTGCTCAAAGGACTCGGTGCAATTTTCCCATTTTTTTCTGGTTTCCTGAAACTACTCATACATCTAAAAAAAAGACACCCCTGAACTCTACTCCCTGGACTGCTGGGAGTTTATGACTGTATTACTAATATTGTTTAAATGTGAAAATGGTTACACATGGCTGGCTCAAGTCTTTTGTCTCCACTGCTAAATTACATGGAAGTGATTAAATTATCATACAACTTCTGTGGCCATAAAGAAGTAAAGAAAACATTCTACAGCTAATCGAGTTGTTGTCCATACTATGGAAGTCTTCCAGTTCACAGTCTGTACTTGATGTACTACATAATGTCAAACAGTTCTCTTCTAGAACTGAAAACAGGTAACAGTTTTCTGTCTTCATCCTGATGACCAATTTAACATCAAAACAGCACTAATCCCAACAAGACTGTCCTTGGATATGAAAGTACAGGAAAGCAGAATTTTTATTGCCTGCTTTTGTCCTCCCCTGCATTGTTCTTTTTAATTTGAGGAAAAAATATTGCTTTTGCTCTTTTTTCCTCTCTAAGATTCAGAAAGTTCAGTGGAAAAAAAATGTTGGTATTCTAGCAGGCAAGTAAATATACTTAATTGAATAAGTGACAGGTTATTCTTCCCTACATTTGAGGTTTGGGCGGTTTTTTTTCCTTTTTTTTTTGTGGAAATTCATTTACATATGTGTGCACCCATAGGGTTGGCCTTTGTAGTGTATACTGTCTGGAATTTATTGATGTTTTGGCTTTCAAATGAATCTTTTTTAGACAAAACGTAAGATGTTAATTTTTACGGATTTGGATGTTTTGACAACAGCTGTTTTTCTGTGACATTTTTGTTCGTTTTTCTGCTGCAAGAAGGGAGGTCAGGGTAACAACAAGCTCAGAACTGTTGACCTTCATGAAGCTGGCATGCAAGTTATCTTAAAGCACCAAAACTGAAGAACACTGCCATTTCTAAGAGGCAAGCCATATTATTGAGGAAAAGTTCCTTGTTCTGTTACAGCTGCAAATGAAACTGTAAAGGCACCAAGTAACTCAGTGACAATGTAAGTGATACACTGACAGAAGTTAGTGCATTTGCAATAGCAGTGTAAATGCTTAAGCACTATTTCCAAGAAAAGCATGCTGGATTTGCAGTAAATGCTTACCATGCTGAAATGCTGTTTTGCTCACTGGGCTTCAGAAAGAGAATATACACAGGCTGATTTCATAAGTATAAAGTCACAGAATGATCAAAGAAAACAAAATCCACCTAAGTGAATTAACAAAAAAAAATAAAGAAAAAGGAAGGGTGACAATAGTACCTGTGTGGGTTCGGATATGTTTCTGCAGGTCTCCTGACGTCTTGAATGATTTGGTGCAATTTTCTTCTGTGCACCGATAAGGCTTTTCACCAGTGTGTGTTCGGACATGACTTTTTAACCCATACCCTGAATATCAGAAAGGATGTTATAATTGTATAATCACAAAATTAGGATATCATAAACTACCACCAACAAAAGCTGTGCTTGCCATTCCACTCAGGAAGCTCCCTAGTGAGTAAAATTTGCTCTTTCAGTCCTCACAAGCTCTTTGTTCTACCATACAGAGCAGCAGAACTCAAGATACAGTTTAAAAAGTCTTTCATCCTTCATCTATGAAGAAATTACACTTCCATAATGCTTCTTCCCTTCGAAATGATAAACTGTAATGATTATAATGTAGACAGATATGTGTTTTGTCTTCTGAGGAAGCTGTATGCTCTGTATTCCACCTACCTTTTAATCTCTTACAAGTACTGTCATTAAAATGACATCTAATTATTTGCTTATACAAAAATCAGTGCCATTAATGAAGTCATCACAAAACCCACTACTGTTTTACTATCCAGGCTTTAAACTCTAATTATTTTAAACCGTATTATTAACATCATCACACATAGATGCCAAATGATAGCAGTCATGGACACCCATTCCCTTTAAGATTACTCTTAGGAACTCATAGTCATCAAGAACTCTACCAATCTAAAGGAAGCTTTGGATCAGGCCCTCTGTAAATTATTTTACAAAGAGCATTTTATCAGGATTTTCCTTTCTGCACTTCCCTGAAAAGATCACAACTAAAGAATCCTCAAACAGCCATTTTAGAAATGTTCAGTCTGTTGCATTCAAGAGTATTTCATTATACAGTTTTGAAATCTGTTTACAAACACTATGCAATTAAACTTGGGTGCAACCGTTTTAAGGGTGGTTGTTTCCCCTTTTGAACTTTCTCATCAGTATTTCTTTTGCTTGTTTCTATTCAAGGAAACAGTACTTAATGTATTAGCTCAGATTAAGTTATCTTAAAATAGTACCTTAAGGGGTTTGTTGCTTTGTGGGTTTTTTGGGGTTTTTTTTGTTTTTTTGTTTTTAAAAAAGACCTTAACTATTCCAAGCATCATGCTAATTTGCATTCGAAGTAAAAGAATAGAATTTGAAGCAAGTTTTGTTCTTTCACTTTCTTCCATATTTCATTTTTCATAACTGCATTTTGCATAATAAAATTCAGTCTCAGGGAGAGCATCATTTATAAGCAGATTAGTCTGTACAAAATGTGGAGTTTATTTCAAGAGGAACATCACTCTGATACAAATTCAATAAAGACCACTTAAAGCAGCTTCTTCCATCAAAGTTCCTTTTAAATGTGGAGGAGATCAGGTATTTACCTCATACTAACAGGTTCAGCTTCTTATCACCTCATTTAATTTATACTTTTAGTTAAGAAAGGACTATTTTTTCAAAAATCTGACTCTGGCATGACAGGTGAGGAAAATGTGAGGGAAAATGTCAAGTGTTTCAAGTTATTCCTCCTTCAGTAACTAAGAGTTAAATCCCCTGTCCTTTCTACAGTAGCTGAAATTATGACCCTTTTTTTTTATTGCAGTTCTCCCAACCAAGTTCTTAGCAGTTTAAAAAAGGCAATATTAACAACTTACTTTAAACAAACACTAGCAAGCAAGAGGAGGTAGTGTACAAAAGATTACCTGTTGCAAAGGCTTTCCCACATCCAGGATGTTCACACTGATATGGTCTGTCTCCCGTGTGTGACCTTTCATGCACCTGTCGAGACATCCAATATAGTTACTTAATGAAATGTTGTATTTGATTATTTCAGCACAGAAACAGTTCATTCACAAAGCAAATGTGTTTTATTTCTCTTCCTAAGATTCACATTCAAGTGTCTTCTTTTCAAATCAGTGATAAAAAAAAAAAAAAAACCAGAAAAAAAATATAGTGACAATGTTTTTCCTAAAACTAAATACGTTTTTATCCAAGGTCTAACCCGATCCTTTCAGTCAGTTTTGCAAAAACACACATCTGTAAATACACACAGCTACAGCTGTTGTAGCTGTAGCTACAACTGTAAATACATACAACTACGCTGAAGACAGTATGCAAACATGCCTCAGAGCCCACTGTGATTTTTTCTACTCCACTGAGCGCTTCTAATGATCCTCTTACATTTGATGAAACCTCTACAGCAAGGACACAAATTTAACACAGGATCCATAGAGTCAACTACTCACTGACTCCAGTGTTTTGTCAGAGACAAGGCAGCACTGCAAGGAGTTTACTTCATTGGCGAGTGATCACCTCAGCCTAAGCTGGAATGTGAACAGCTCTACACCCTCACTGTTTCAATAATTCCTTTACTGAATTTAAAAAAGGAAGTTTCCACCTGTAAAGAAAAGATGCTCCAGCTTTTCACTTTGAACATTGGATTGTTTTGGAGAGTTAAACTTTGTATTGCGATGGTAAAATCTTTCGAGAAAATCAGAATTTTGCAGGATCATGCATATACTGGAAGTAGATAAGGTGAACAGTGGATTTCAGAATTTCTGGGACACTGCTTTTAGAAACTATCTCAACAAGAGACTTCTTACATGCTGGCAATATAGGAGCCTAACATGATCCTACACCTGCTACTGTCCAAAATCACTGAGCAAAATCAGCAGAGCACCTAGGACAACCAATTACTGTAAAATCAATCCAATAAACATTTGACAAAACAGCACACTTATGACTCTATTACTTTTAACCACATAATCAGTAAAAAAAAATAAAAATAAAAAAATCATGCCTGCAAAGTAACAACACTCATTTTACATCTCATCACCTTAAGATGGTGAGCTGTTGTGTATAGTTTTCCACAGCCATCATAGTCACAGCGAAAGGCTTTCTCTCCACTTGGCTGAGATTTTGCAGTCACTCGTGTTCCATGTCCTTGCAAGACAATCTTAAGTTTAAAACAAAACAAAACACAATGGATCAGAAGAATCACACATTTCATTTTGTTATCAAGCCACAGCTGATTCTGACAGGTTTCTTTTCTCTCTCTCTCTGCTATACCATGTATTTCTCAGTCCTCAATAAAAAATAAAAAGCATAAGTTCTGATGAAAGGAAGGAAAGAAACTGTAAAACGTATTTACTTGTAGATATCTAATTTAAATCCATGCATTAATTAGCCAAATAATAACAAAGACAAAATAATTTGAAATATATGCCCATTGGCAAGATGACCAAATTAACAGACAGAAGAGGCTTAGATTACATTGGATACTGGATCCATTCCTAAGGGAGATTAACTATAAATCAGACCACCTTCAAACATAAGTTCATGCATAGGCCAATTAAATGCACTTATAATAAACACTTTTTGAAAAAGAAGGAAAGCATTTTGCTCTTTGTCAGTGATGCATGTGTTTTGATCAACCTAACTGGAGCAATTTGAGCTAGGTTCTACTCTCCTTTCTGGCATGACACAACAGGAAAATGTACAGAACAGCTTTGTGATGCAAACCCCATTTAAAGGCTTTTTTGTACAGACTGAAGAAAGAGGCAGAAGCCCAAATGTAAACATTTTAATACAACTGTATACAAATCAATCAAGACTATTTTAAAAGGTCTGTCCTTCTTTCAAACTACCCCTCTTTTCTTATGGAAGAATGTGTTCAGAGTATCTCTAAGGATGGAGATTCCTGAAGGCTTCCCCCAGCCTTCACGCTTCCAACTAATTCTTCTTATTAAGTATGAGGTCCAGCAAAGTGTTTCACCTTGCCAGTGCTCAATAACCTGCTTTAGGTTACCAGTTGCCACCCCTGAATTCCAGAAAGCTCCTCGATTTCACGTGCCCTGTTGCGGTTGTTAAAATTCCCCATGAAAAGGGTTTAAGGTGGTTAAAATTCCCCATGAAAACCTGGGCCTGTGAACATGAGGCTTCTTACAGTTCTCTGAAGAAAGCCTCATCTTCTTTCTCATCAGGCACTCTATAGCAGACAGACACCACAATGCCACGCACTGGTCTGCCAGCTAATTCTGACCCATCGGCTCTTGACTGGCTCATCACCTATCCCAAACCAGAGACCTATGCAGTCCTGCTTTTCTCACATGAAGAACATCTCCCCCTCCTCTCCTTCGCCCCTGCCGTATTGAAGAGCCTGTATCCATCCATCGCAGCAATCCAGTTATCCAAACTGTCCCACAACATGTCCCTCATCCTAACAAGAGAGTAGCCCTGCAATTGCACATAAATGCCTAATTCCTCGTTCAGACAGACCAGATATTTGATTGAGAACAACTTCCTATGGATTCTTCAGGGAGGATGTGCACTGTTTCCTTCAGACTGTTCTTAAAACTAAAGATGTAAAGTCAAATGTGAAATTTTTAACCAATTGAAATGTACAACTCTACCACTTCAGAAAAGCTTCTCTGGAACAATGGAGAAAAACATAACCTCATGAATCAAGAAACCCATTACTAATACTACTGTTTAACATATGATATCATGAATCACAAAAGTCACTTTAATACATTAAAGATCGTGAAGAGGAGGCTTGGTTGAGAACCTGCACTTGAGTATTGATTTGGTTTTCCTGTCAGTAAACCTGCTAGTATTTCTTTGTTGTTTGGGCATATAAAATACGTATAAAGTTGCTAAGATCTGCTATAAAGCTGAAGTATGCCAAAGTTTAAAAGAAAATGACAACAGTTCTATAATCAACGTGCTAATATCTGTAAGGAAATAACCAGACATAATTTTAAGATTGACACAAAGAGGAGGGACAAATAAAACAAACAGAACTCTTAAGGAAAAGATTAGTTGAACACTATGAGCTTTGTTTGTAGAAGTATATGTTTCTTCACAAGACATGATTTGAAGATTAGTAAGAAACCAGTTAGCATTATCATTCAGCAAGGACAGATATAGTATTAAAATTACTATTCTTAGAAGAATATACACGCTAAAGAAACAAAAAGAAAACAGATGTTAGAAGGCACAAAGTCAGAAGAATGTAGCAAATAAATCACCTTTATAATAATGTGAAACATTGTGAGGAGCTGTGTACTTCAAAATATATTTAGCTAGACAAAATTTAACTCCCCGCCCCAAATCTTAAAAGAAATCACAAACGCATCCTGAATTCAGACAGGTAACACAGGAGAACAACAAAGGTAAAGATCTGATATGATTTTTATATTGTGTACACACAAACTTCAGTCACATGATTCTGCTTTTATTATGAACAGATGGTTATGGCAGGTTTGAAAGGTGTGTGATATCCCTTTGGGCACACATAGTCTTTTGTTTTCACATGCAGAAATCACACAAAGGTTTTATGCTTTTATCCTTTGATGAAAAGCCTAACCACATGCAAGTTTGAACGACTAAAAAGTATGACATCTGTTCTGTTCTTGTGTTACCTGTGGACTTAAAACTTTATAAATATACACCTATTTAATACCATATCTAAATGTAAGACTATTTTATCCAAAGTAATATATTATTTCAGAATGAGTCACCACTAGGTATCTACTTAAATCAAGACATAAACATGATTAAGATTTTCTTACATAGCTGATAGTTTTGGGACCCTTCAGTTGGTCAGAATTTGAGACTAAGCCTCAATGCCTTTTGAAATACCAGATATTGTTTTGTTTGGAACATATAATGCTCCATAAGATTGGCACATTTCCATGTGGCATCCATGTTGCCATACACGAATAAGATAAAGCCACCTCCAGATTCGCTATGTTTTGGGGCTGAGCCTGAAATCAACATGTAACTCAACAACAGTTACAGGTAATTTTGCTTAATAGACTCTTATTTCCGGGTAAAACAAACCAAGATCTTATCTTACTCTTCCTTGAATCTTGCATTTTGTCGGGAGTTGTATACCTATTCCAACATACAAGTGTGCAGAACCTCTAGATTTCTTGATTTCATGAATATATTCCAATACCATAAATAATACACATACTAGCTATTCTCTCCTTTCACAATCGTGTCACACAGGCAACAGTGGAGTGTCTGCAGCTTTAAATATTGTGGGACCTAGCTTTAAAATAAAAATTAAGAATAGACACTTTTGAGATAACTGTCACAGGTGAGCCTATAATTCTTCCTTCCACAGATACTGTGTTTTAACTTGGAAGATATTTTTCCTCCTTGCCTAGGTCACCACCTCTTAAATTAGACCAAAAAAACCCCAACAATGAAATGACTTTTCTATTTCTGATTGTCATTTAAACATGTGAGGGAATAGAGGGTTTATTATTGGTTTTGTTGTTGGTCATAATTCTTTAAAGCCCAGAATATGTTTTGCTTTGTCATTTCCTTTAATAAAATGTTATGATGACAAATTACATTATTTTATGAATCCCAGGTAAAAAAAAAAATCTTAAGAAGTTGCACCTGTATTTTCCATTGCCCTTTAAACTTTTAAGTTAATGTTTTCACATTGAAAAGGTTTTTATACTGCTACATACTAACAATATGAATACAAAGAAATGGAAGTATTTTTCTGCTGCTTTAAGCATTCACTAGGAGCAACATTCTTACCTACTGATAACTTACAAAATCTGCAATAAAAGTCAGGGGCTCTAACAGGGCAAGTGGAATAAAAAAACCAAACACCACCAAAGAGAGAACAGTCTCTCTTGAGAGAAAATAATTCATTAATTGAGTCAGCATTGTTCTGCTTTAAAGACTATATAAAGTCAGTTCATTCTCTGGAAAAGAACTTCCGAAATACTTACACCCTTACTGATAAAATGTTCAGGTCAGGCTGAAAAATCTTAGAAATCCAGATTAATTTTTAATTGCCTTTTAACAGAAACCCCCAGAAAACAGTAATCATTAGAAGACCTTTTTTGAAATCCTGTGAAAGGATCTTGTGAGAAATATGACCTATCTGTATAGGTTTGAGATCTGCAATGCCTGAAAGGTAGCAGCAGACCCTAGTTCACAGCTACATGGCACTATCATGCACATTGCTGGGTAAAGAAGACACAAGAAATGCATGTACTGGGCTACATACCTGCATTTTTTTATCTTGTTCATTTTCACCTATCATTCCTGTGCCAGTAACACTGTCATTTCCATCAATAGACACCTGAAAAACAAAGTTGAAATGGAAAAAACCATTTACATGTTATTTTTATTCATCTGAAAAACAGAGGGTTTATTGTTTCATAGCTCTCTAGCTCCCTCTTGAAACATGGTTATCCTATAGTACATTAACTTACATGGAAATCACCACTTGTAGCACCTGCATTATAGAATATGTAAAATAAGCATCTCAAACATTAAAACAAGGTAGGAAAAACTGCAAGAACAAAGTATGTTAAATTAATAGACTGAAAGAAGTATTAATTAATTTAACAATACTTAGGTCTGACAAAAAATAAAAAGAAAACGTTTACTTTTATCATAGGAATAGATCTCTACACTCTCTGTTAAGCAGAATTTACTTGTTTTGAACAGCAGAACTCCTTTGTAATCAAAATACGTAAGACACTGTGTTACGTCTTAATTTGAAATTACAACAGCTAGTCGAATTAGTCAAATCACAACAGCTAAGCAAGACTTGAGTATTGATCCATAGGTTTATGTTTTAAAAACAGGAGGAGAAAAGTACTGTTGCTTTCCAAGGAGTTTATAAAAATATTTGAAAGAATATTAGATCTTCATTTGAAACTTTTATTTAAACAAAAATACAACTACCCAGTTAAAAAAAAAAACCCTCACAAACTCTCTCACAAACATTAACTCAAATAATAGTGTCTTATTAGCCACTGTAGAAAAAACTAAATGATACTTTATGTAATTTCCTTCATTGTCTCTGTATTGAGAAAAGGCATTCACAATACTCTCTGCATCCATGACACTCAAGCCTGAGCCTGTTGTACCTAAATCTAGTCTAAGTGATTTTATTTTTCTCTGAAGTAGCTTAGCAGGGACACTACCTCTGTTACTCTGGTACACTTAGGCCCTTTCACTAAGGAGGTCATAGAAGCCTCCTGCGGATGTTAATGGTTGTGTAAAGTATCTTGCTCAAAGCATCAGCTACCAACATTTCACTTGACTGAAGATGCACTTGACCCATAAGAGGTTTTCAGGCTGTGCTATCTTTCTAAATATAGATGACGACGAATAATGTACTTTCGGCAACTTTTAGCTAAAACACTAAAAAGTGCCCACGCAGAGGCAAGTTTACATTACAGAGAGACTGCAAAGACAGTCTGCAAGCAGGTAATTCTCAGGTGTTTGGGTTTTGTTTTGTTGGGTTTTTTTAAAAGGAAACAAGCTATTTTGGGGCCTTCTCCTGAAGAAGTTTTGAAGGGAGGGGAGAGAACCTGCACAGACAGGAGACTTTAATCACTTTATCCTGAACTTCCTATTGTTTGTTGAGAAACGAAATGCTGACATGAAATTAAAAGTTCATCAATGCCACTTAAAACAAATGATCCAAACAGGATGTGCATGCGTATGTATGGACATACACAAATCCCAGGAACTGTACTTTGCCAGCAGCTGGGATATTGCAAGAAACAGCCCATGGAAGAAAAGTATGTGTTTTTAAACTCTTTGCAATTCCATTACATGTCTTCTGAATGTATGTTCATTGAGAGCAATACTCTCTTTCCTTGGTTGCTTTGGGAAGAAGGTGGCAATGACTTAGTCCAAAATTAAGAGGACTCTAGTTTAAAGTCCTCTTAGCCAGATAGTAAAGCAAGGGACAACGAAAAATGGAAATGTTTCACCACTTCCAGTGAGCTTCTGTGTAGTCTTCCTGGATCCCTTTGCATGAACTCTCTTACAGATTCTTTACACTAATCTTGGGCAGCCTACCGATCTTGGCTATTTCTCCCTGTAGGACAGGGGAACAGAGAAGAACCACCATTCTCCAAATCTGCCTTTAAAATTTTCTTCACCCTTTTAAGTTTTGAAGAGAAAACCTTTGAAGTTAAAAAACCCAAGACACCCAATTTTAAACCTCTTTTTTTTTTTTTTTTTTTAATATTGGGAGAATACTGTAAGGATTCCAAGGAAGATCTTTGAATTTCTCCTAAATGACCGTGTTAGATACTAAAGAAAGATTTAGTCTGCCTTTAATTAAGAACATAAGAACACCTATACTGAGTCAAACTAAAGGTCAATCTAGTGCACCATTTTGTTTCCAACAACAGCCAGTAGCAGATGCTAGAGAAGACTAAAGAGCAGATCAAGCATATAGTGATGCATTCCCAAAAATATTCCTCCAACCTCCAAGCAATTTGTGGCTTAGGAACTTCCTGAACTAGAAATCGCATGTTTCTACCTAATAGCCCTGGATACATATTTCTTCTATGACTTTATCTAATTACCCTTTGAATCCAGGGATATATTAGCATCCACAATATCCCACAAGCAGTTGCATGGTTTAACTTTGTGCTCTTTGAAAAAGTATTCTTCCCCTGTTTTTCTTGAACCTGTCACCTGAGATTTTCCTCTGATGTTTCCCAGTTCTTACACTGGTGATAAAAGACAATGACAAGTCACTACTCTTCTTTGTGCTACTTAGAATTTTATAATATTCTATCATATACTTACTTCATATATTTCATATGTTTGGTCATCGTTGTTGCCCCTTTCTGTACCTTTTTCAATGTTTCTATACCAGCTGCTATGAAAAGTATATATTGCCTCACTATGAAGCATACACAGACACGGAGTAGAATCACAAAACCACATTTCTCATTTTAAGAGAAAGACAGGATTGTGACAATTCAGCTGTTATTTGCTTTTGTATGTAAATCTGGCGCAATACTTGGAAACTCATTTCTACTGACTTTCCCCGAGAGTTTCTAGCAGTACCTTTCAGAACAATGTTCTCAGATAAAAGCTTAAAGAAAACAAACAGAATTTCTCCTAAACCCACACAAATACACTATGGAAAACAAATTCACATTACAGAATTGAAAAAAATACATGCTGAGATAAATAGGAAAAATAAATTTGCATTTCTTCTCTTTCTTCTTCACCTTCTCAAAACAGAAACGTAATTACAACAAATCATGATTAACATAGCTCCTTGTTAAGAAGGACAAAGATATGATTGATTTAAACCTAAATTAAATAGTAGCTAGGGAAGGTGTAAAAGCTTGTCACTACTAACCTTTTAACTAACTTTTATTTTATGAAATGTTAAGGCATAGCCAAACACAATACAATCTGACCGGCTCTTAGGACCTCTCAATTATACCAGAAAGAAGCATAATGGAAAGCATAGAGTATAAGCCACTTAATTATCCTAACTGGCCTTCTCCCAAAATTGACGATTTTCAGTGACACTGGAGGACAGATTTTAAAATATATTCTACTTGATTTATTCCACAGCAATACAAGCACTGATGGCAATCATCCAGCAGTGGGTACACTGCTAAACTATAAAGATATGGAAGTTGCACCACCCATTATTATACTTACATCATGCTTCAGAGAAGTCCAGTAAAGTGGATAACATCAATTCTGAGCATCACGCTACATTTTACTATTGAAAGTATGGATCAAATAAACTTTTTCCAAAGTCAATAACTAATCGCCTGGTTTACACATCATATCATGCTCTGTCCTTGCCCAGTACTCCAGGCCCTGCTCTTCCCAATGCAAAGGGGAAAAAAAAAAAAAAGCCAGCAATAGTGCCTGAACAAGAATAATTTAACTTTGTCCTTCTTTCCAACAGTGTCCTCTCAAGAGACTCCTTTCCAATACTGTATTTTAGAGAAAATTATTTCTTAATTATAATTTTAATTCTTAGATCACAACTGGCTTTTGCTGCCATGGATCTTATGATGCTATATTAAACCTTTAAGGATAGAGAAAATGTTTTTCAATATACCTTAGCTGCATATTGCTCCAAAGCACTGATGGTATCTGGGTCAATGGCAGCATCTCCTGTATGAAGACCTGCCACTGTACCATCAGCTTGAATGGCTAAAATGGTATCCGACTGTGGCATTTGCACTGTGTGGTGAATGTAGGCAGTAGTACCATCCTCCAGCTGGACTGCTTGTAACGCACTCTGGTCGTAACTGTCTGAGAAACAATATTACCAAGTGTTACGAAAGAAAACGTATAGCAATGTCTGCAGGTTACACAAGAAACTACTGCTGTTCAGGAAATGTCTCCTAAAGTCCTATATATGTGTGAAATATATAACCACTACAGATGAGAAACAAACACTTAAAATATTACTATGAATAGCACTGATTAAACTTTTTCAAGACAACACCTCCCATAGCTTTATTTCAGCATGCTTTTATAAAAGTGCAAAACTAATTTTATATCGGTCTAGCTTTATCTACAGAGGAAACCAGGAACACAAATATGCTTTCCACCCGTTCCCACCCATAATTTAACAAAAATAATGTAATATGTATTCTGATGTCAATACATCAGATTTTAGCATTCATAAATCTGATCATTTTAAGAACAGAACGATGCAAATAAGCAAAAAAAAACCCCACAAAATACAGGATGACTTTTAAGGAAGAAATTCTTTATTATATTCTCTCCTTCTAGTATTGCTGATTGTAGAATGTAATTCTTGTCACACGAGTTTAAATAGACTTAATATATCTACTTTCTGTATAGAAGCAGTACTAGTTCCAAGGCTAGTGTAACTATTTTCTGCAGAAATCTGAGCTATCATTTAAAACAAATAATTTGCATTCTTGACTGTCAGCTGCAATATTTTCTGCCCTACCACCTAATGGCAAAATCATCAACCTTTAAAACGTAAGTCAATCTCCACATTCTTTAGCTCAAGAGAGATTGATACTTACCTGCTTTCTCTTCTCATTTTCACATGCAATTATTGCTGAAGTCTGTGCGAGGGCTTACATTTTCTACTAACATGACAAATACTTAGTTTAATGAGATTCTGGGCTAAAAACCCGTGAAATAGGCCAGGTTTGATTCTGTAACTGTTATATGAGGCTCAAATAAGGAACTGAACCGGTCTCATTCTGACAATTTTCAGCTGTCACAAAGTAAAAGCAACCAGAAATCTTCATCAGGAATCAAACTAAACGACATCATAGTCTAAAAACAGTATCATATTTTATACTGCTGAAGTTCTGTTGAACTCTAATGTAATAAATCACACTTTAAAAAAAAAATTACCTTTCGAGGTGTGATGAATAAATGCTGTAGTTCCATCCTCCAGCTGAACTGCTTGTCCATCTTCCAGACGTAAGCTGTCTCCTGTTTGGAAGAAAGAATTACAATGCTTCAACAATAGTTTGGTAAGTCCATTACCTGGAAAGATTAAACACTAAATACCTAGGATTACTATGATCTCTTCACAACTGTTTCCATTAAAATAAGCTATTATAATGACCATTAATTACTTAATATAAATATTTATCAGTAATACACTAATCATAGAATCACAGATGGTTTGGCTTGGAAAAGACCTTAAGATCATCTAGTTTCAACCCCCCTACCATGGGCAGGGACACCTCGCACTAAACCATGTCGCCCAAGGCCCTGTCCAACCTGGCCTTGAACACTGCCAGGGATGGAGCATTTACCACTAAATATATTTTAGAATATACTTCTTGTATTATTACACTTACTGCTTTTAGGCATGGATACGTGTTGAACATAAGCAGCAGAACCATCTTCTAATTGAATCACTTGTCCATCCATTAATTTACCATCTGAAACACACAATTAGAATTCTTAAAAAATATTCTGTATAACCCATCACAGTTTAAACACACAGTTGGTACTTTCTGGATTAAAATATCAATAAAATATCACTGAAAAAATAATGTTTGGTAAAGACTAAGGACAATATAACTATAGACAGGCTTTAAAATTCTGGGATAAGAAACTGGAAAAGGCCTGATGTCTCATCTAGTAGGTAGAATGTTGATATTTGGGTTTGAAGTGTAAAGATCATCTCTTTTGTTTGACTTATGTTCCACATTTCATACTGCATCTCACTAGTAGCAGAAATAATTACTTATTTTACAGTATTACTGTAATACCTGTAATTCCCATCTGGAACTGGAATTTCATAAACATTGTACAGATTTTGCCTGACTTTACAATCCAAAGGGGTTTACAATCCAAAGACAGGATCAAAAAGGGAAATCTGACATGAATACCAATCAGCTTGTAGTCATTTACCTACCTTTAGAATTGTGCTGTATGTAAGCAGTGGAGCCATCAGCAAGGGTAACTGCTTGCAAACTTACACCTTCCATGTTTTCTAAGTTGTCACCATCTAGCAAGGAAAAAAGTTAATATTCACTATTACCAGTATCAAACCCTAAATATCACAACTTAACCACCTCTAGAAGTGACTGCATCCCCTTAAACCATAATTATTTAAAAAATAGTAATAGGAAATGGGTCTTACTTGCTATTTTTTTTGAAACTTAAACATACATCAGGGTCCTATGTTCAAGATTTTGCTCTGTAAAAGTGACAGCTACAGTGTTACTTTCCTTAACTAAAAAAGTTACAATGACACTGAATAAATAACTACAAAGCTGAGGTTCTAGGAGAAATAATGATTAGGCTACCTATGCTAACAGTGCAATAACAATATATATATACTTGCATTGATAACTTTGTTTTGCACTCTACTACCTGTCATTAGTAACATAAATCTCTGTAGAGTAAAACACAGATTTAGGAAAAAGTTTTTAATCACGTAAAATCATAATGAAGCTGTCCGAAAACATCAAGTTTAAACCAGTCCTGGATCAGCAATCTATTTTAAAACTCAACTTGTTTAATACATACTTAGATATAAAAGGAAGTTACAAAGGATAAAACAGTAAAACTATAGTGAGAATAAAGTCAGATTCTGTATTTCCTACTTTGGCTCATTTATACTCCTATTACGTTAAAATATAATTTCAGTTCAGAATTAGTGAACTTAATCTTCGTTAACTAAGAATAATTTCTGTTAGATTTTTCACTTAGAATACACTACATGGGGTTTAGAGTTTTATCTAAATTTCAAACAGAAAAAAAAACCCAACAATGTAAAGAGATTTTAACCTGAAGATTCACCTTGCACAGCTACAGCTTCTGTTAGACAAAGAGTCACATGCTGGGCCTCCATTCCTCCTCCAGAAAATTCAGTCATTCCCTGAGAGTCTCGATTTATCTGAGCTAATAACATTGTCTACCTAGAAAGAAAGTATTCACAAAACACAGAGAGAAAATTTAAATACAGAACCAGAAGTAAAAGACAATCAAAGTTTAATTAGATGTTTATACACAGCTGCTACAAATATTTTATGTTACATTCCACATAAAGAAGATGCAGTGAGTAATTGCCTTACCTGAAAAATA